GTGAGTGAGTGAGTGAGTGAGTGAGTGAGTGAGTGAGTGAGTGAGTGCGAGAGAGAGAGAGAGAGAGAGAGACAGAGACAGAGACGACAGAGAAGACAGAGAAGACAGAGACAGAGACCGAGACAGAGACGGACACAGACAGAGACAGAGACCGAGACAGAGACAAAGACAGAGACAAACAGGCGGAGGAGAGGAGAGAGAGCGAGAGAGAGAGAGAGAGAGACAGACACAGAGAAGACAGAGACAGAGACAGAGAAGACAGAGACAGAGACGGAGACAGAGACAGAGAAGACAGAGAAGACCGTGGCCTCCTCCTACACCGACAAGAACAGTACGCGCGGGAACAGGAGAAGGACGGAGAGGGCGACTGGCATCCAACTGCAAGGACATAGAACGGGTGAGAGACTTCAGGGATGTTACCGCCCTACCCGACGTCCCGGCCCACCTCACCTCCTATCTTTTGCCTCTATCCCCTCTGCCGTCCTACTTTGGTCCTCTGTTGGGCCGGCGCCCGGCTGTCAGGCGTAAGCCTTTAAAACAAGATGGAGCCCACGAACCCGAATGCAAACACGTTCGAAAAGCTACATATGTTCAAATGACACTCTTGTAGGACACTCTTGTGGGGCACTCTTGTGGGTCACTCTTGTAGGAAACTCTTGTGGGACACTCTTACGGGACACTCTTGTGGGACACTCTTGTGGGACACTCTTGTGGGACACTCTTGTGGGACACTCCTGTGGGACACTCTAGTAGGAAACTCTTGTGGGACACTCTTGTAGGAAACTGTTGTGGGATACTCCTGTAGGACACTGTTGTGGGACACTCTTGTGGGACACTCTTGTGGGACACTCTTGTAGGAAGCTCTTGTGGGACACTCTTGTAGGACACTCTTGTGGGACACTGTTGCGGGACACTCTTGTGGGAAACTCTTAAGGGACACTCTTGTGAGACACTCTTGCGGGACACTGTTGCGGGACACTCTTGTAGGAAACTCTTGTGGGACACTCTTGTAGGACACTCTTGTGGGACACTCTTGTAGGGCGCTCTTGTGGGACACTCTTGTGGTGGGACACTCTTGTGGGACACTCCTGTGGGACACTCTTGTAGGACACTCTTGTGGGACATGCGGGACACTCTTGTGGGACACTCTTGTGGGGCACTACTCTTGTGGGACACTCTTGTGGGACACTCTTGTGGGACACTCTTGTGGGACACTCTTGTAGGACACTCTTGTGGGACACTCTTGTGGGGCACTCTTGTGGGACACTCTTGTAGGAAGCTCTTGTGGGACACTCTTGTAGGACACTCTTGTGGGACACTGTTGCGGGACACTCTTGTGGGACACTCCTGTGGGACACTCATTTGGGCCACTCTTGTGGGACACTCTTGTCGGAAACTCTTGTGGGACACTCTTGTAGGACACTCTTGTGGGACACTCTTGTAGGGCACTCTTGTGGGACACTCTTGTGGGACACTCTTGTAGGAAACTCTTGCGGGACACTCTTGTGGGACACTCCTGTAGGACACTCTTGTGGGATACTCTTGTGGGACACTCTTGTGGGACACTCTTGTAGGAAACTCTTGTGGGACACTCTTGTAGGACGCTCTTGTGGGAGACTGTTGCGGGACACTCTTGTGGGACACTCTTAAGGGACACTCTTGTGAGACACTCTTGCGGGACACTGTTGCGCGACACTCTTGTGGGACACTCCTGTGGGACACTCATTTGGGACACTCTTGCAGGACACTCTTGTGGGACACTCTTGTAGGACACTCTTGTAGGACACTCTTGTGAGAC